TAGCCAGGAGACTTCTCCACTGGTTCAAGTTGTTACAAAGTTCAGCTAGCAAGTTCCTTCTCTCTGTGTGAACCTTGAGGGCCCTCCTCAAGGATCCCTGTGAAGCAAGGCAGAAATTGGCTTGCTAGGTGACCCAGCAAGCCCACAGGGATTTTCCTGCTGCTTCCTCTACCCCTGTATTTTGCTAAGCTTTCTAAATTGACTCAGCTCCAGGTAAGGTCAGAATCTTCTTCTGTAATCCATTCATTCAGGTTCCCCAGTGAGGGTATGTGTTCAGGGGCACATGATCTCCCTTTTTTGGGAGGATTTCCCTTTCCCTCCACAGTTTGAGCACTCGCAGTATTTAGGGTGTCTCCTGGGTCCTACAGGAGCAATTAACTTCCTTTGGAGGGACTGTGGGTTCTCTGGACTTTCCTAATATATTCTTGCAGCCATTCTGGAGCAAAAGTTCATGATGCAAGCATCCACACGCTGTTCTGCCTGTCCAAGTGGGAGCTGCAAACTAGTCCTGCCTCAAAAGTGTAATATTTTGAAGTACTTTTAAAAGGTGTTAGGAAGATGACATAATTATATAGGTATTTTTTGTGGCTGGTCACTTTGTTTTTAAACATTTTATAAAGAGAAAATTTTTTATATGTTTTAATTCCAGATCTCTAGAATTTATGCCATGCCTAGAAGAATCTCTAACACTTTATGTTTAAGAAAATGATCTCTATTTAAAACTTCCATGAGACTTATTTTTAGAGATAAACACTTATGTATTTTTAAATGTTTAGTTCAATCTAATTTTTTTTAGTTTTTTTTGGCTAAGAATTTTCTTCTAAAATAGATTTTGTACTTTGTAAAATGCCTTTTCAGTATCTCTGATGTGATAATATGTAAATCAAATATGTATGTGTGTGTGTGTATATATATATGTGTGTGTGTAAATATATACATCATATACATGTGTGTATGTATATATGTACTTTAAAGAGACAGGGCCTTATTCTGCTACCCAGCCTGGAGTGCCATGGTGCCATCATAGCTCACTGCAGTCTTAAACTGGGCTCAAGCCATCCTCCCTCCTCAGCCTCCCAAGTAGCTGGAACTATGGAGGTACCACCACGCCTGCCTCCTAAATCATATATAAATTTTTAAATATGTTTTCAACAGTTTTAGAGCTTACAAAATAGCTATGTAAAACAAGATTACTGAGTACTCTTGATAAGAAAAGACTTCTTGGATTATAAGGATGTTAGAAAAAAGCTATTTTTTCTAAAGGTCCTAAAAATATCTTTTATTCTAAAGCCCTTCTGCTCCAGGCTGGAAGTAAAGTGAGCTGCTATAGTCTTTCTCACAGCATTTGGAGAAGTCACACAGGCTAAGTGATGTAAACTGAGAAGACATTCTAATGAGAAGTAAAGGATCTACATTCTGCCTCTTTTTCTTTTTTTTCGACAGCAGATTCTGTGAGCCCTTATCTGTTTCCCTTCTGGGCAGGAAGGGAGACAGACAACTGCAGACATATTAGTGCAGCAAAGTTCATGCCAGTTGCTTTATAGATAGTCATTGTGTCATTTGATATATGTCCCTAAGGTAGTCTAAGAAGAGGAAGGAAAGCTACTACCTTTTCTTACCATTATTACCACATCATGGTAAAGAGTAAAAAGAAACATAGGTTTGCATAATTCTATTTGCCTTGAAATAAAATTAGATAGGGTACAGAAGTATATATCAGAGCAGTACATGCTCCAAAATTATGTCATTGGCACACAAAGACATGACTGTCATCCTCTAGCTGGTGATATCCAGGCCTCATTTGTGCACATATGGGCACATGGCAGAAAGCAAATCATCCCAGCTTCCAATTGATGTGAAATACTGTGATTAAATAGACCTTAGATTTAGATATCCTGTTTAGCTCCATTCCTTCCAACAGGAGTGCAAATTTTGCTTCTGGATTACTGAATTTTGAAATTTTTATTTCCCAGGTTTACACAGCCAGTTAGTGGTCTATTCTGAGTAGAACACAGGGTTTCCGCACCAGTGCTCTTTCATCTCCACACAGCCTTTGGGGTGAATCTTCAAAGGATGGAAGCTTCTCTTGACGCATAACTCTTGTCTTCTAGTACAGCTAATGTCAAACGCCACTATTACAGCCAATCTGTCTTCTTTTATAATCATTGGAGCAAGCTGGCTGAACAATCTGGAGAAGACTTGAATTCCCTAAAGCAGAGGTTGCTTCAGAGGAATGTTTCAAGGTGTCTCTTTCCTAGGGAGCTCATTTTATAAGGCACCAACACATTCATGCATGCCCTGAAGAAATCAATTTCAACTTCATTGGATTTCATTTCCCTAGATAGCTGACTTTCACTATAATGTCTCTTAGCTGTGATTTCATACAGATTCCATACACAGGAGCCCAAAGATAAGCAGACATGGACTTCTAAGTAAATGTTAAATCTGGCAACACAGTGAATTTTAGAAGCACCTTCTGGGACATTAAAGGGAAAATATGTGGGGGAAATGATGAGAATTTTAGATGATTTTATAGGGTTTTTTTTGGTTGTCTTCAAGTTTATAAAACATATCTCTTAACTTTGAGGTAGTTCCAATATTGAGTGTACTCTTTCTTTTGTCAATTGATTAAACAAGCTGACAAAGGAGAGTGACTGATATTCACAGATTTCCAGTTTTCAGCAACTCAAAAATATCCACCTGTTATCTTGTATTCTGAGTCAAGGAGCGACAGATTCTCTTTTGAAGTTAATGAATGGCATATTTTATCCGTAGTATACTAAACGAAGGTTAAGATCAAAAGATCTCTCTTGTTCTCATGATAGTGATTGAGAAAATAGGTCCTGATTTATCAATTATTCATCTCCACCTCCACTGTTGTATTATCTATCCCACTAGTGATTGAGATTGTCTCCCAGTAGGCTGTCCAGGAGAGACACAGGAACATATCCACACACAGGTATGTAAGTGTCTGTGTGCCATGATTGTGTATCCAAACATAAGATTATTTTACTGACATAAACAATGTGTATCACACTATTTATGAATAATGATATAATATGCAATAATCTATTATTGTAAGTTCTGTATAACCAGTTGAATTTTATAGGATGATTTTGTTGACTTTTGCTGAATGATTTTATCTGCAGTACATAAAGTCTCTGTCATATATTTCTTTTTGAAAATTTCTTTACAACCTTTTAAAAATGTAAAAATTAGTCTTAACTTACAAGTCATTAAAAAATAAAAAATAAAACAGGCCTCAAACCAGACAAGCCAGGTAGTTTTCTGATTCCTGGTCTACACAATCCACAAAACAACAAATATAGATTCCATTACACAAGATCCCAAAGATAAGCAGACATGGACTTCTAAGTAAATGTTAAATCTGGCAACACAGTGAATTTGTAATGTTAGTCAATCTCTGTGGTGTAGGTATTTCCACTATGGTAGACTTCAAGCTGTCAAAGGGATTTCACTGAACATTGAATTGGGAAGAGCTGTGAGGTAGCAGCCCAACATACACTATTCCTACGACACAGATAGAATAGTCATACAATTCCTCCAGAGCATCTTTAGTTAAAAGATAGGCATATAGATATAATTTATGAATTAATTAGAAATCAATGAATTTATTAGCTTTAAAACTATTTAATTTCAAGGTCATATAATTTTTTAAATATAATTTTTTTTTTAGATGAGTCTCACTCTATCTCCCAGGCAGGAGTGCAGTGGCATGATCTTGGCTCACCACAACCTTCACCTCCTGAGTTCAAGTGATCTGCCTGCCTAAGCCTCCTGAGTAGCTGGGACTACAGGCATGTGTCACCATACCCGGCTAAATTTTTGTGATTTAGTGGAGACAGAGTTTCACCCTGTTAGACAGGATAGTCTCAATATCCTGACCTTGTGATCTGCCTTCCTTGTCCTCCCAAAGTGCTGGGATTGCAGGCGTGAGCCACCGTGTCCAGCCAACTTAATTTTTAATAATGGCTGGGTTAACCAAGAGCTCACAAAGTTTCTGAAAATTTATCATTTGTAACTCATGAACTGGTAACAAGCTGACTTAAACACACCACCGATGGCCTATTCTTTCAAATTCCGTAAATACTGGATGGTTTGACATTTTGTGAACTGTGCTCTGGCATGCCTCCCTGATCTTCTAACCCAATTATTTCATGACTTAGCAGCATCGCCTGCTAGAAAACTTTTACCATTTTTCAAAGTTGATTTAAGTCCTATATAAACACATAATACATAAATATACAATTTCTATATTCTAAGCCCTCAGTAACAGGGCTTCATCCACTGTAGCCTTTACCTCCTTGTTCTGTGAGGTCTTATCTCAGTTTCTCCAACTCAGCAACTGAATGTTTATGGCCCAACAGAGCCTTGAGTACATCAGGGGCACAACATGCATTCTTTGAACTGAACTACTAGCAAAGATGGCGAACTTTGCAGAGTTTTGTGCAACCTTCTGTGTATTGTAGAATTGGCACATTTCACTGTACTTCTTCTACCAAAGAGAAGGGAAGAAACAGCTTGCCACAGTATTAGTAAAATGTTTGCATAAGAAGAGTGAAAGTCAGAGTATTGCTTCAACTGCAGGTTTTAGATTCCATTGGTTTTGTTTATAATTTAAATATCTTTCATCACCACAGATAGTTGAAGTCCTTTTTTAAAGGAGGTACATAACCAAGAGACTAGGCAGTGGTACAGAAATGCTACAAGCAGTTTAAAAAAAAAAGTAAGGAGGAGACCTGTTGATTTTAAAATGTACACAGCTGCTACCTTGTGGATTAGCCCATTACTTCCTCATTGCTCAGATTCTCTGGCTGCATTCCTTTACTTGTAGACTATCTGGCATGGATGGAGGAAGGAAAGTCTCAGGGTAAGACTCCTCAGTGCCCCACTGCTTCTTTCAGTTGCTCTGCTTACTTATTTTCTTGCTGCCTTCATCAAAGCAAGAGTCCTGGGAGGTGCGAAGAAGATCAACTCACCTCATAGTCAATGTCTAAGGCGTCCGTCTCGCCCTTGGTGCGGAAGTGCTGGGTGTGCTTGTCCACGGTGAAGTTCACCTGCTTGCCCACCCGCTCGATGAGAACTGAGTGCCAGTGCTGGTCATCTAGGAGGCTGCCCAGGGTGGCAGAGGGCAAGCTGTTGCTGAGCCGTGCTTTGCTGTCATCTGTAAAGACAGGAGAGGGGCAGGATCATGTCTGTGTCTCAGGGCAGCTTTGCACACCAGAAAGCTCCATAAGCAAGACCAGCTATCTCTGTTCTAAAGGCAAAAAAATGATGTTTCCCTACAGGCCTGGAACTGTGCTGGACTGGAAAGGAATAACAGGCTTTGCCCACATATTCCAGAACCAAGTTCAATTGATAGGCATAGCTCCTTCCAGAAAAAATCGGGCATGTTTTCAAAACTTAAAAATTAAATAATAAAAGGAACAATGTCCTTATGGCTACAGGAATAAGATTGAAAATGGGTATTTTGTTTTTAGAAAGAATGCATATTCTTTGAATTTGAATGATTTTTGAGTGGAGAAAGTCAATCCTGAGCTGTGCCTGGGAGGAGGAGTAAAGCTGAGATACATAAAGGGAGGACAGCTAGTGTCTGTGGGCAAAAGCAGCAGTGAGGAAGTAATCATCCCAGCTGCCATTGCTGATCATATACTGTATGCACAGCATTTCAGAAGAAATAACCTTCATCTTTGATCCTCTAAGGGAAAACTATTATCTCCATTTTACATATAGGCTCAGGGAGGTGAGGCATGCGTGCCTCAGGTACAATCAGGACTTGAATCTGGGTCTGCCTCATCCTTATTCCCTTTACCATCGCTATGGGTCATGGCTTGGGTCATTATGTTGAGAATTTAGCCTCCGTTAAGTGTGGAAGGCCCCCTTGAGAAGACATGAAAGATACAGGAGAAAAAGCATGCTTTGCAATCCAACTTGCCTGGTTTCCCCTGCCCCTCCTTCTCTCTCAATTTTCTGGAAGTCTCTGGCTATACCCTTCTACCAAAAAGATCACCATTTTCATCTTCCCCTGCAAAACTTGCTCCAACCTTAGCAAAATGAACAATTAAATAGAACTAATAATTGTGTGCGTGTGTGTGTGTGTGTATATATATATATATGTTTTTCAACTTTTGCAACATTTTATATATTAAGTTTCTTCATAACTGAAAGCTAAATGTCTCTCTCCTCCCTCCTGGGAAGTGTTTTCTCTAGTACAACTGCAGCAGACTCTTCAGCAGTGTGACATTCAGCAGGCAGGAACTGCCACTTTACCGTAGCTGCTGACTCCCACCTCCACTAGGGCCCAAGGCGCTATTCCCTTCACTGAGTAACTTGGGTGCTTCATATAGGGTTGAGGACAGCAAACTCATTATAATTAGAAAAGGAGAGCTGGCGAATGAATAGCTGACTTGGTTTCATTGGTTTATTCACTGTTTGTTCCACAGCATCTGAGTTTTCATTGTTTGATAGATTATGCTAATGAATTAATAGATTTATTTTTTCCTCCCTCCCTTTCTTTCTTTCTCCTATAGAAAAGTATTGTGATCTACCTGAGCTGGTCACAGTGACGGAGTTTAGAGGTATACTGTCCTTTCTGAAGATCTTAGTGAAGAGAAGCTCCTCAAATAAATCTATAAAAGGCAGGCAAGTTCCCAGCACTTAGTGCACAGAGCCTAGGAAATGCAGAGTGCAGTGCTATGAAACCCTCCTTATGCAGCAGCACAGGCTGAAAACCTGAGGGAAGGAAGAGCATGGTTGCAAGGCCAGGAGAAGCAGCAGCCAGGCTCAGGGATATAGGGGAGCATGGCCTGGGGCTTCCAGCGGCTGAGTACCACAGCTCATGGGCCTGGATCCCATTATCCAGTACATTGTGTACTAGGTCACACAGTTTACATCTTATCTTTAGGAAATGGAACATTGAGTAGGAAGAGGTTACTAATACAGATTACTGAAGGATTTTTTTTTTCTTTTTTTGAGATGCAGTCTCCCTTTGTTGTCCATGCTATAGTGCAGTGGCATGACCTCAGCTCACTGAAACCTCTGCTTCCCAGGTTCAAGCGATTCTCCTGCCTCAGCCTCCTGAGTAGCTGGGATTACAGGCATGGGCAACCACATCCGGCTAATTTTTTATATTTTTGGTAGAGATGGGTTTTCAGCATGTTGGCCAGGCTGGTCTTGAACTCCTGACCTGAAGTGATCCTCCCATCTTAGCCTCCCAAAGTGCTGCAATTACAGGTGTGAGCCACTGTGGACAGCCAGCAGATTACTTTGAGAAAGATTATTTTGACAACTGCATGGGAATTGGATTAGAAGGTAAAACTGGTAGTAAGGTTGGCCATAATCAGGATAGATGGGGCATAAAGGGGCTCAGGCAAGCATAGTGCAGGAAGAATGGGATCCAAGTAATGACAAGGCATTGACAGGAGGTGGCCCCCAGCTGACAGAGACAGAACAAAGAACACCATTGCCACCCCACAGTTTTTATTCATAAAATAAAATGACTCAGGAGCAAACATTGGCTGAAGGAAACTCTGCTTTATAAACTGTCTGTTCTAGATGTAACAAGGCAGATAGATTTAATATCACAGTTTTCACTTTGAAATTGAGCTGCATCTCACTTTTATTTTAAAATAAGAGAGGCATTTAACAATAATTTATTAAGTCCAAATGCTAGGCATTTGAAAAGTTAAAGCTATCACATGTCACAGAAAGACAAAGAAAACAGGGCAGGGAATTATCCCCTTTCCCCCAACTTATTTCTCCTATGTGCTGTTTTTGTGGCCTCTAATAATCTACTGAATTGTTTAATAGAGCCAATAATAATGATGTTTAAAAGAAAATATTTTAATATTTGTCACACTGTCCTGCTTCAAAAGATAAATTTTTTGAATCAGTTAAATTTATTTTATTTTAATGTAACATTTTTGGATATAGTAACAAATCCCCCTCCCCTCCCTCCCTTCCTCCATCTGCTTATCTGCCATAACCCCAAAAGTAATCACTGCTGTTAATGTCTTGCTTGTGCTTCCAGAAAAACGTTAGCTGTACACAAGCAGCAAAGATAGGTTTTCTTTATTTCTACTCATTAAAGTTTTTATACTCATGATAAAATAGAATGTACGTTTATCTCCAACTTTCCATTTTCATTTAATCTATCCTGAAAATCTTTATCAAAATACAAAGAGCTTTTCCATCCTTTTTATAGCTGCATAGTATTCCGTGATCATATATAATAGATATGATATATAATTATATATATAAATGATATATACTCATATATGTGATATATAGAACTTATTGTATTTCATTTAATGAGCTTCCTAGTGATAGTTTAAAGTCTTATATTTACTTTAGATCTATAAAACTATTGAAATGCTTTATTATGTGGCTATTATTTTGCTTGGGCACAAACATATTTGTAGCATTCGTTCCTAGGTGATGAATTGGAAGACAAAAGCTTTCATGCTTGCACTTTGGACAAACACTGCCAAATTGCCCTATATAAAAACCATGCCTATTTAAACGCCTAGGAGTACCTTTGCCACAGGCTTGCCGACAACATGTAGTCTAGCTTTAGCATTTTGCCTGTCTGGTAGGTTAAAAATATGTATTTATGGCCCGGCTCATTGACTCACACCTGTAATCCCAGCACTTTGGGGGGTGGAGGCAGGTGGATCACAAGGTGAAGAGATCGAGACCATCCTGGCTAATATGGTGAAACCCCGTCTCTACTAAAAATACATAAATGAGCTGGGCATGGTGGCGCATGCATGTAGTCCCAGCTACTTGGAAGGCTGAGGCAGTAGAATTGCTTGAACCTGGGAGGCGGAGGTTGCAGTGAGCCGAGATCGCACCATTGCACTCCAGCCTGGCTCCTGGCGATGGAGCGAGACTCTATCTCTTAAAAGGAAAAAAAAAAAAAAAAAAAGTGTTTCTGAGTAATTTTAATATGCATTTCTTTTAATAAGAATGAGATTGAAAATCTTTTTATTTTTATTTCTTTTTCTTTGAACTGTCGCCTCCTATAGCTTGCCTATGATACGAATTTTGAAAATATCTTTTTGCCTTTCTTTATTTGTTTTTGGATGTTGCTTTTCTGTTGTTGCTTGTTTGATTTATTATTTTTAATTCACTCAGGTATTTGTATATTGGGAACAAATCTATCATTTTCCTTTTATAGCTTCTAAATTTTTATAATAGTTTAAAAGATTCTCCTTATTCTGAGAATTATAGTTTTCTCTACTTCATTCCAACTGAAACTTATTCTGATGTATGGTATAAGGCACAGTTTTACCCTTACTTCATGTTTTGAGATGGTAACTAAATTGTCTCAATTCCACTATTCAAAAATCCTTGAGTGGTCTTATTTAGTGAAATAGTTTGTATGATTTTAAAGTAGAAGGAGAACACTACTAAATTGAATAGGGTGGTTTGTTATGCTGACTGGATCAAGGTTCTGTAAGTACATGAGTGGGATCTTCAAATTTTAAAGCTTCCAGTAGCAGGTCATGTTGGTTGTTGCTCACTGTACCCTTCTTGCACCCACTGCCACAATCATCACCACCATCTCAATAGACGGGAGCATTCCTACTGTGGGAAGCAGAGCCAGCATCAGTAGCCTTATCTTCACCCTCCTCAAGGTCTAATGTCAGCTCTTTCTCTCCTGGGTCTTAACTTTGGCTCAGAAAGTCTACTACTCTCATTGTTTCCAGTAACACTGCTCCCTATAATTTTAACATTTTAGGGGAATAACAGTACTTCTTCTTACATAGTGACTACCTTTTACTTATTGCATCTAATGAAACCATAAACTTAATTAACACACATCATTTTATGCAAAATCACTCATGAAATTTTTATGAGTGCTTAAAGCAATTTGTTGACTTTTTCTCAAAAATGGATTTACTTAGCGCATATATGTATGTATGTATATATATATATATATATATATATATATATATACATGCCCAAAGATAATGCAAAATTGAGTTCCACCAATTTTATGGAGAAACACGTCAGTAAGTATCGAGGGAGTTAAATTAATGTTCACAACTTTTTACCTAATAATCCGGTTTCTGTAAATCTAATATAAAAGAGCAAAGTAAAATGTTGTAGACGAAGTTGTAAGTGGTAAGTGATTCAAAAATTGGATATAATGTTCAATAA